AGTAACGATTGCTTATTGGACCTTTTTTTTCAGTTTATATTTTGTTTGAATAAATATGAATATTCGTTAAATATTCATAGTTTTTTGTGAATAAATATTTCTTGAAAATTCAAAATTTTGAATGAATATATGATTACATTTTTCTTTATGTGAAAATTTTGAATAAATACAATTTGGAGTTCAATTACAAATTTTTGTATTCATCGGACACACTAGGGCTGCGTTCGAAAACATCATCTAGGTACCCCCGTGTATCATCTTATCCTTGTTTCACACTGAGTAAACAATAAGGATAAAACGATACATGGGGGCACTTGGATGAATATAAAATAAAAAAAATAAATGAATACATCAAATTACTGTATCAAATTCGAAAGTCCACGTATTTTATGGTTCATGGTTGATAACGGTGGTGTCTATCTGATTATATGACAGAAATTTACGCCGTCCGCAATAATTAATGAGTCAACTGGGTGGATTTCGGTTTTTGTATAAATAAGTTCTTAATAAATATAAGTCCAAATATAAAATTAGATCCAAAAGAGTCAAACGGTAAAAATACAGTCAATATTTAACAGTCAAATGAAATAAAACAATGCAATATTGCGATATGTGTCAAGAGACGTTGTAACATAAAATGACTAATCATTGAGACGTAAATTTTTATCATATAACTGTTTCGGCTCGTAGCTCTTCTTGTCTATCATTGTTAAGTTTATTGTAGTGAGTATTATTATTTATAGATACTCTTGTAAAATAATTCTTGAAACAATGATATATTTCTCAAAGAGTGCACTGAAAGAAAAAGTTGACTGAATATGGCATAGCATTTTTAATCGGTTACAGCAGCCAATTTTTAATTGCGTTAGCCTATACGAATCCTATACTGACATTGCAGATAGGCTAACGCAACTAAAAATTGGTTGATGCAACCAATTAAAAATGCTTTGCTATATTTTACCATGTAATTTGCTGCAGCAGTCAATCTTTTCTCTCAGTGTGATAATGCCTATGAGAGCCGAACACAGGATGTACGCGTAATGAATTTATTCAATCAATACATTAATAGACGTTTCGATCCTATATTGTGGATTCTTCTCAATATCGCAAATATTCATTCAGAAAATAAGAATACAATTAATTAATTTGATTATGCAATTAAAACAAAACAAAATTCAGGAAACGAATTCTACGATATGTAGCGGTGTCTTGTGAAATGTAAACGTGCAGATAAAATTGTAATGTCCAAGCGTATTTTCATTATAATTACCAAGTTAACTAAGAAAAATTATTTTGACCGAATTAAACAGACATATATAATAAATAATCAATAATAAATTATTAGACTTACATGATAAACGCAAAGACAAGTCGCTCGGTAAATATATCAGTTCTATCTTTCGTTCTCATGTGATAGACGCAATCAATAATTAAAGTATATATAAATATTGACAAAGATGGAGAGGGAAACATCAAGTCCTTGTAAATAAATTTGAATATATAGAGTCAAAAGATTCCGTGTCATTTTTAATGTTCAAGCCATTTATTTGTTTCTTTATGAAAACCTCAAAATTGTGTAGGCTCTAATGATACAAATAAAAAAATAAACAAAAAGCTTCTGAGAGCGCCGGCGCGGGCGTGTGGGAATCGTTTATCTAATCAATTCCTTTTTCAAAAATATAAAATATGTTGTAGCATATTTCTGATTGAGAAAAACTTATCTTAGAAATCCTATTTATTAGATCAGAAAAAAACTAATCATAAATTTAAATTAGAAAACGATGTGAAATATACAATAAAAATATAATAGATAAAATATTGTGCATGTGTAGGCGAAATATGCAAAAATATGCTTTTATATGTGAAATATGCAAAAATATGCTTTTATGTGTGAAATATGAAAAATATGTTCAACATAACTCAAAATGCATAATTTCTTATGAAACAAATTTGTATTTAGTTTATTTCTTTATTAGTCAAATAAAAAAAAATGCCCTATACATATTTTGGTTGCCCTAGTAATTAATGTAATTTGATGAAATTCTCCTTGCATGCCGAGCGACGAGACAAGGACATGCTGTGTGTGTGTGTGTTGCCACATTTCAACCGTCTTTAGTGCGGAGGTAGGTTGTACGCGATTAACTTTTTAGCGCAATTGTAGCCGGAGAAATACTTTAAATCAGGAAATTTAATGAACATCCTATGCGAAAAACCTTGATGAATGCGATTAAAAGTGACGATAAATCCTTGTAGTCTGCATACGATTGCTTCGACCCAACAGTTAACATTGTTGTCCACGTAATGTAGAAATCTCATTATATACTTTACAACATATTATCATTGAAGAGGACCCTAAACATGAGTCGAACCGTATTTAAATTTGTAACTGATAATAATAAATTTTTATTCGCAACAATAACTTGCGCCGGCTCTCAGAAGCTTTTTATTTATTTTTAATTTATGAAAATCATTTCAGACGTAAATCTTTTAGATGTAAAAACTCTTCTCTCTCTTCATCTAAAATATTTATATTCTTCCAATCAAAATCATGTGAGAATTCAAGTCTATGTGCAATATTAACTGAATGTTGTATCGTGTCCCAATTGATGTGGTTTGTGTTCTTTAATACGCGTTTTTAAGATTCTACCTGTTTGTCTCACATATGATGCATTGCAGTCCTTGTAATTTAATCTATATACAACATTGAAATGAGACAGAGTAGGGAGCTCGTCTTTTTGAACGCGGATAGATTTCTTTAATTTATTTATACCTTTATATGCCATATGCTTATGTAAGAACTTTTATTGAAAAGGTATTTAATTTTTTTTGAAATATATATAAGATTCGAACAATATCGTAAAAAACGGTACCGTAAAAAACCTTCGTCTCTTGGTTTCATCAACATTTAATGTTGCGTTCTTGTTGCTATTATTATCTACTTTACAATTTAACTAGCCGAGTTTTTTTATGTAACCCTTTTGATGATAGCGAAAATCACATTTAATGGATAACCATTATTTAGAAGAATCCTTATGATTTTATCGAAATTCTTCTGATGCAAAGTTGAATGAGAGGGAAGAAGAACTCTATTCGTTAATCCTAAAATAATGCATTCTTTTTATACTAATAGATGTCTAGAGAAGGAATTTAGATATCGACCTGACGACGAAGGTTTCCAATCATATATTATTATTGTGATAATTCTGTTTAATTAAGGTAACTTCTCCAAAAAGTTAAGAGTGTCTCCATTTACATCTCATACATTTGTATCTCGAAAGTAAATTTAAGTCGTGGATGATAATTATTAAAAATATTTAACAATTGTTCAATGTTAGTTTTATTAATAGCTAGTGCAATGTCGTTGAATGTTTGCAATGTTGTAAAAATCGAGATTTATTTCCTAAATATTTAGTCTGTAACCATTTAGAAAGAATAACGTTTCATACACTAAAAGAAAGATTGGCTGAATATGGCATAGCATTTTTAATTGGCTGTTGCAGCTAATTAAAAATACTATGCCATATTTTACCATTTAATTTGCTGCAGCAAGTCAATCTTTTCGGATTTCGGATTCTATGATGTCGCCAAGGAAATGGATGAAGATTCGCTTTGATTCACTATTAGAGTTTATTTTTATATTTTCATATATTTTTCACTAAACGATATATTGCTTATACGTTTACGCTCACTTAATTTTATTTAATACCTTTTACACTTTTCAGATTTAATATAAAGTCAATGCGCGCGTGACACTTTATCTTTTCGGACAGTCAACGGATATAGATAACGCGACGCTAGCGAGAATTATTGGTGACCCTCGACCGCATCCGCGGTCTCGCTTTTATTTGACATTTTCCGGGTCAACCTTGACGATTCGGTGTTCGCCCGTTTAGCATTCCGATAATCGATCGAAGGCAGCGATTGTGCAACAAAATCACGTTTCTTAACAGTTATACATTTCTTTTATCATTTTATTATTGATTCGTTAAAATTATTATTAATACATTTGTTTTATCAATCGTTCGTAACCCAATTGTCACTTGTGCAATTAGTACTCGTGACATTACATAAAATTCAAAATATTCAATGAGAGCCTACCCCAAGCAATTAGTTTTACTGGTAACACAACGGCTTTCTCAAATTTTACATACTCTAAACTTCACGTCAATGATTGGGTGCCAGGCACGAGAGAGCGAGCTCCTCTTTCTTAAATCTTTTCGGTACGTTCTCACTCGAAAATACTGAGGTGTAGAGACTCACGAATGCGGACGGCTCTAATAACCGACTGCTCAGCCACGATAATGGCAGAGGGGGTGGTTCGTGGTCGGGAACGGAGAATCTTTTGGAGAACGAGTAAGGCGAGAAAACAGTAAAGTAGGCAGAATTAATAACAATGAGATAATAACAAATCTATTCTCCCAGTCAATTACATAGTTTCCAACGTACAGGCAAACGGATTGATTCTGCGGCATGCAAGCGCTCTGGCCTCCGCGATACGTTTTCGACACGCGGTATCAAGTAACCCGCTTCTCTTCTCTGATGGACGAGATCTCGATTCTAGCGTAATTCTACGCGACGCATGTATCGCGGTTACGGAAATCCATGGCGCAGTTACGAAAATCTTCGGAATGCGTGAACACGCGAGAACACCCTTTGAAATCTAGGATCTGCTACGACGACGATAGTACGCGACACTATTTTAAAGATATCTTGTAGAAATTTAATAGATTTCAACTATATCCCTAGTAGCAAGCTGACAAAATGACGTAACTTGCTACCAAGGATGGCACTTATAAAGTCTATAAAAGATGTCTTTTAGATATCTGAAAAATGATTTTGAGATATCGTGAAAACATCTTTTATATGTCCTGAAAATATTTTCCAGACATTTTGAAAATATCTTTAAGGATATTCTAGTGGAAAATCCATATTTTGAAAAAATAAATAATAAAACAGCATAACAATGTTAAATTCATTAATGTGCAATCGGAAATGCTTGATATGGACTGCAAGGAGATTACGGGGAAGAGAATTGGATGAAGAAAGACAGACTTATTTTCTATCTTCGTGTATTTGAGCTTACCAATTAATGTACAATGTGCACGGCCGTTTGCGATCTAGCACCGCGGCCCAATTATATATTAGACCATCCTGCGACTTATGATCTATCTCGATGCGTGTAATTTGTGATAGCAATGACGATGTAACGAGTTACGATTGAAAAAGTTAATCAGAGCGAAGAACTTTCAGCTCAAAACCGAGTGTTGGTATATTCGGAAAGAATTCGCGTTCGTGTCTCACAAAAAACTTCTATTGAATGTGGCGGGCGGATCTGTGCAGCGCTCGCTTTTGCTACTCCGACCTTCTAGAAGATTCGTGACGGTTATGATTATATCCTTGTGCTTCATAATGTAATGTGAAATAATAATAGTGAATTTTCTAGCAGGTCGGAAGTCAATTTGATGGTTTCGGCGTTAATAAACGCTCATCTTGCTTTGAATCTCACAGTGAGTCGCTAGTAAAGCGTTCGGTTTGCGCTGCAAACAGCAACTTTTAATTAATGAATGTAACATTATCATGCTATGTTTCTTTGATATAGAGAGAAATCTTTTCACTTTAAACGCATATTCTACTCGAGTCTATTGCGAAAAGACGAACGAAATCATTGCCACGCGTATATTCGATAAAATCCGTTATAAGAAATTTTTATCTTTACATTACAGACACCGTATAGAATCTAAATGCTTTGTTTTGAAAACTTAACTTCGATCCAAATAATTCTCCCTTGATTCCATAAAGCGTATATATTGCGCATAATGTATCATTTTATTCTTGTTGTTTATCGAAAGTTAAATAAACCTAAAATGACACATCGTGCGTATTATGTGCTTTACGGAACATAGCATCCAGTTATATTTAGAATCAATAGGCTATATATTAAAGACAGAATTGTTTGATTATTGTTGTATTTTACATTCGGATGGTGACATTAAAGTCAATTCTTCGGCATTGGATTTGGAATTCTTTTGTCGCGAATTTGAATATAAAAGATCTCCGTGATTCAGATTTTTCATTTCCGTTGCTTTTTTCACAGCAATATTGATCCGATCTTCAGAATTTTCACTAGATAAAGCATCGTCTGAAAAAAACATTCATCATTAGATTATATCCCAATTATTATTTCGTGATAATTACCACTATAGCTCTTAATTATCGCAATATTAAACAATAAATTTCGTATATACGTATAATAATACATACTGTAAAGAACATCAGCAATGCTCTCTTCTTTTTCGATCAGACGAAGGTATTTGTTGTCAACGAGAATGTTGAAACTTTTCACGACGTCGGAATTAAGATTCAATAGCCAGAATTGATTTTTCTCGCTGTTCAATCTTTTCGATAACGTTTCAATACCCTGTCGTAGAAAATCACTTACAATTCGAATAGCAGTATCGTTTACGGATCAATGAAAATAAATCATTCATCAATTTCATTTGGCGAATTTAGTTATCCGATACCTTGATTGAAGTGTAATCGAGACTGTTGAATGTTTTGCAATTCATAATCAACGGAACGTCGTTTCCAGCTAAACTCATGACTTTTTCGCTGAAGGAAGTTACCGCGGGATAATAGAGGCAGTTTTCGGGTTTTAGCATCATATATCTATTTCCTAGACGAGTCTAAAAAAGAAAAAATAATTTTAATAGTCTCATTCATGTACACACGTAACTGATATACTCAGGGCTGGGCATGTATTTGAAATATTTTTATTTGAAAAATAGTATTTGTAAGACAATTGTATTTTGTATTGTAATATTATGCATTTCAACGGCGCACATGCAAATATTTTGTATTTTGTGATTCAAATACTAAGATTGACAATTAATGTTATTATTTGAATTACAAAAAACCTTATAATTTTTCGATTTTAAATACAAAATACATAATACTTTCATGTGCTCCGCTGAAATACAAAATACAAAATATACTTGTATTGCAAAAACTATGTTTTAAATAAAAGTATTTCAAATACATGCCCAGACTACATATATATGATGTATATATACACTACATATAAATATATGATGTATTTGTTAAGTATACAAAGCGAGTTATAAGTATGTTTTAAAAATTCGTAAGGGGTTTCTAGATAAAAAGAAAGAGCAAATGTTCCTATGAACTTTAGGTCTCAAATACTTTGTTATTAAAATAATGCAGGACACAAAGAGATTTAAAATAATAACATGAATATCAGATTAGTCGTATTCAGGCATATGTGTATAAAAATGATGGAAGATATTTTGAATATACCAATTTCTTAGAAACAGAAAAAAATATCCACCTAAAACTTTTAAATAAAAAAAATTATTATTTGATACTATTGTATATTTGTATTATGTACTACTGTATAAATTATATCGATCCATTATTTCAAAGACGAAGCATTTGCGACCTAATAGAAAGATTATTCTTCTTTTTTTAATTTCCCGGAAAAAATGTTTCATATATAATTATATGTAATTATATAAAATTATATAAATTTATATATAATTATATAAAAAAATTGACATATTTTATATACAATTATATATAAAATATATCCATACATATACAATTTTTTCCCGGGTATATAAAAGTATAATATTAAAAAACAAAATTTTATGACAGCATTTACTTTGCAATTGACTATTTTAAGCGTCAATCTCGCGGACAGTCGAATGAAAAGGATCAAGTTGAAAAGGACACCAAGAAGGAGTCCGATCTCAATGCCGAAAGAAACGGAAATCATAAAGGTTCCTGTCGCCGCGATTGCATCCATTTCTGCAAGAAAAAAAGTATATTATATATAAGTATGTATATTACTTTATCTTCCCCATCTAATCTATATACACGTGAAAACGTAATACTGACTGCTTCCCTTCCAGAGCAATTTCATAATTTTCACATCGATCATGGATAACACGGCAGATATCAGCACAGCAGCTAGTGTCGCTCGTGGAATGTAATAAAAATATGATGTTAGAAAGCTCAGTGCCAGCAATACCATAGTACCTGCAAAGTGCAATGTCATCTATTATTTTTGTTACATCTTTGTTTTGTTCTACGCTTATGCCACACGAGTATCTCGTATCATTATACAATGTCATGTTGCATATTACACGCTATCGCGCCAAGATTAGAATCATAAATTTCTCTAATTATGCACAAAATATTAAGTGTGTTGAGTAATAATAAATTATGATAAAATATAGTAATTTTTAACAAGAAATAAAATAATAATTAAGGCTCAACTAGGTGAACTAAAATTAAAATAATAAAGGGCTACAACTGTTACAAGCCAAAGCTAGTTGTTAAATGCTAATGTTTAATAAATCCTATACATCAAGTATATAATCGAACATACGTTTCAATCTAATAGTAATTTTTGACAGGCTCCTTTTCAGCTTCATCTCGTATTTCTTGCGTACGAAAGAAATGAATACATTTGCAAATTTAAATTAATGTTATTTGATTTTCTGTTACCGGAATATAGACCAGCCATAGGCGTTTGCACTCCACTGGCATTGCTGACTGCACTTCGGGTAAACGCACCAGTAGTTGGAAGCGATGACACAAAACTGCCCACTATGTTGGAGAGGCCCAGAGCCAGCATTTCCTGCGTTGCGTTAATTGAAGTGCCCAATGCTATAAAATTAGTTAATTGTTATGAAATTTTATCTACTCGCTTAGTAAAATATTCAATCCGAAGTATTCTAATTTGTAGAGGAAAAAAAATTCAAGATATGCCTAATATTTTATCCGAACAATTGATCCTTCTTCATCTTGCACGACAAATCGTAGGAGATCAATTTTCGAAATGAAGACATATATAATAGGGAAGACCGGGGACAAAAGTAACAAGGGACAATAGTAACATCGTTAATAAATTTCTTAAACTATAATAGGTATGCGGCTGCATGATAAAATTCTGTAGACAGATCAGCATTGAATCGTTACATGCTGGTTCTCGCGGAATGTACATGAGTGCAAGAGCAGAAATTACTTTTTTCACTGAAAAACAAAGTTACATACCTACTGTTAGTTGTAATTTCCTACTCAATAATATAACCGTGATATAAGACGTGTTATGTTACAGTTATATTGTTAAGTGGGAAATTACAATCCGATAAAAAATTGTTCATGCATGAATACATATAAATATGTATAAACATACATAAACATACATAAATATTCATAAACATATGTAATTATGTATGAAATATGTCCATACATGTTCATACATCCTTCTTTCATTTGTAAAATTACTTTTTAGTGTACTAAAAATACTAATAATAATGAGGAAACATCAAAAATAATTAAAAGAAAAATTTTCACATTGTTTGTTTTAGAAAAAATCAAATTTGGAAAAATGTAAAAGAATTGCTTATATATAATTGCATGTAAAATTATACATAGTTATGTACATATAAGCAAATTTTTTTGCATTTTTTTGTATTTATTTAGAGGTAAAAAAATTAGGCATTAGTGGAAAATTTATTATTATCATGCCTGTAGTCGTTGTAAAACAAGATTTTAGAATTTGGATGTCTTCAAGTTTCATTGAGATAATTATAAGCCCTTAAATCTTGTTTATTATTTAATAAGTAAACATTTGGCAATAAATTCTTCATGTAGTGACACAGTAAGGTCGTACTAATAGAAAAATACGGGATATGTTGAATTGCTTAATTACAGAAGTGTGTTAGATTTGATGATCATAAAACCGTAACGCGTGGAAATCATAATATGAGATATTCAGAGTATTTCTAATATGAAATAACCTATGTTCCTATGCATAGTGAAAATCGTTGCTAAAGTATAAATGTTATTATACAATAACAAAAAGGACAACCGGAATGAACATCGATTGCCTGTTTCTGCAATGCTTGATTCCAACTACTTGAAAACGAGTCCTGAGTACAACGCATCACATGCTCATTTTGCGCGCATACTAGCTATGTTTGTTTGTATTTTGGAAACATTAAATAAAATTTTTTAATTGCAATACTGATGTACTTTGCGTTTTATTATCGATTTCTCTGAGCATCTCATATTAGGAGCACAATTTTTTGACTTTGCGATTTGCTCACCCGAGAAAAAATGTTATATAAATGGACATATTTTATATATAATTATATATAATTTTATAGTTTTATATAATTTTTTTTTATATATGATTATATATGAAACATTTTTTTCCGGGCACTTTTTACATTTCTTTAATTTAAAAAAAAAATAGAATTTGAATTAAATTTTACATAACATTATTATTAAAGCTTATTAAATTCCCTTCAAAATGACCTATTATTTTTTAAATTCTACCTATAGACTTCTAGAATTTATCCAAAGTCAGCTCATATAATATCTCATATAATAGGGGCCTTTCCTTTATTTATGCGTGTTAGGTACGTTCATACATATGTATATATATTGATATATAAAAAATTTTTTACTGGGAACTAACAGATATGTTACATGTAACTTGTGTTCACTGGGAAATACTAACATAATTGTTGTAATTTTCCACTTAATATAACTTTAATATAAGATATAATAATTATATAACACATAACGGTTATATTGTTGAGTTGGAAATTGTAACTAACAGTTGTATGTGTGTACTTAAGCAGAACAAGTTATAACGTCAAAATGACATTAAAATGAATTGAAAAGTGACTTTTAATGATCATTTTGAGTCATTTTGACATCATTTTGACATCATGACTTGTTGTTCTGCTTGGGTACTACTGTTAGTTAGTGGCGTGTTTCCTTGATTTCAACAAAATTAATCAATGAAATCAGATTTTGTTAAATATAATGAAATTATTTTATTAAGTCTAATTCTATTTTATTATGATTACGGGGGCAATTTGCTGTCTGACTCGAGATTGAAATTATTGAAAGAATTATGGAAATTTCGATACCAAATACTTTAGCTATCGCTACGTTTGCCAAGACGGCTATAACAGGAAGTATCCCTAGTCCTAATCCGTAGTGAGCGCACATGTCAAAAAAAGTGTAAGTCTGATTTCCCACTTGCGATGAGAAAGGCGGTAACGATACTTTGGGGAGGCCGGCTTCGATTTTTTCTGTAAGATAAAGATGTTGACAAGCTATAACGCTCCATGATCGTAGTACATTTCTAAATGGAACTGCTTAGTGTAAAATTGATTAATAAGAGAATAATGGTTTTAAAAGTCGTTATAAATTATTAGATTTTAATAATTTTACAATGACTATACTGAGAATAGATTATTTTTACTTCAGCTTATGATAGCTATATCATTAAAAAAAATCATTATTTCGTTTATTCGATGAATCGATTACCAATAATTACAAATAAGGTCCATACCTGAAAGTATAAACGGAATGGATCCTGTATTCGCTTCGAATTGGTACGTTATTGTGGATGATATAAGTACAATGAGAGCGTTCCTACCAATGGAGAAGTACCAAAGTATTTTTTTTATCATTGCATTTCTGGGAGCATCCGTCTTGTTTCTTATGCAAGGATAGTCAATATCTTTTAATTTCTAAAGATAAAATCTACATGATACTTCTATGATTGTTATAAATTGTTTATTTATAATTCTGACACTCACTCTGAAAACTAGGAGAAATATGAAGCAGAAAATTCCGAGTGCGGAATCGGCCAGCCGGATCTTATTAATATTCTTAAATAATTTGTACAGATTGTCTATAATATTTTCTGACTTATATTTCAACCCCAGAAGGGCCTGCATCTGAGCGATAATTATAATAACCGCTCCCGCTGACATAAAACCCGATGTGACTGGAACTGATATAAAGTCCACCAAAAATCCTGCAGGAAGAATCGTGTCGATCAATTTTATATCGGTGTACTTATAAACAATGCAATAGAACATGATGATAATGAAAAAACGTGAACGAAGATAATTGAAATTTAGTCGATTAGATAATTCTGGAATACAAGCCTAGATTTAGTACACCCATTAAAAATTCTACGCATCCAGCCAGAAAACACAAGAGTATTACAAAATCCTGCGGCATGTTTCTCGTGTACTGCAACGTCAGAAGAGCCATCAAGGATGACGGACCAATCGAAACCTCTTTGATGGTTCCCAAGATAACGTATAGGAAACCGCCCACAAAACAAGAGTACAAACCATACTGTAAGCATTACTTGTCATATAATATTTTTAAGGACATAGAGAGACACATCATATCAGTAATAAATATAATAGTATTATATAGACCAAAAAGTCTTAGAACAGTCTAGCATCTAAGGAGATAACAAGATTCAAGAGTGCATTTGTTTGCAAGTGCATAGATTACAAATTGAGATTTTTAAAAATCGTATATACATATAGTATATTTACGTTTATAGTCATTAAATAGATATCAGCTTATCTATGCTCATAGTCTTAATTAAAGCGAACAAGGAGAACGACGGACTGTGATACCTGCGGAGTCCGTTCAGCCAATACCGCGTAGGCCATACTCTGAGGAATCATAGTCAGACCCAGGGTAATGCCCGCTATCAGGTCTGACACGGCCTTCAATCGAGTATAATGCGGTAACCAGCCGAGTACCGGTAGGTACTTCACCACTGTGAAGCGCGGTTTCTGTCTCGAAATAAAAAACGGCGGAGGCTCTCCGTCGGACATTCTACTCGCGTCGCGTCGACAAGATACAAGCGAGAAACTAACGAGAATCTGACGCGAGACTATTATGCTCTCGCGGCTTTGCGATCGCAAGCGTGTTCCAATGCCGGTACTCCTGTATCAGCTGCGCGTAATCTTATCGTCCCCACGTCCTTAAAACCTCGTTGTAAAAATTCCAGTGAGGAAATCCTTTTAATTACGCTACTAATTCTCACCGGTTTTGTGTCATGCACACTGTTGACATTTTGATAAAGATCCCCGCAAACGGAGCCAGAAACCTTGACAAGGGATTAATAACAGCTGACTTTACAACTACTACTTGCTCTATTTCTGATTCTTTCACAATATGATGTAAGATAAGTGGCAGGCTGATACCGCGTATGATCCCTGAGATTCCTACTTCTTTTTTATTCTAATGCGCATCTTGTGAAATCGACGAGGAAAATATCAATGTTATTAGGAAAGTTATCTTTGTTGCCAAAATTTTATTGCGTTTTCGCAAGACGAAAAGCGTCGAACGGACGTGTAATCGGTAGAGTGTGACGTGCATAAACGCTTACGACATGCTATTTGATACAGCTAATTTGGTGATTTCGTCGTGCGGAAATCTACTAACGGACAGAGATTTTTTAATCGGAAGATAGTCGCACACATGACGGGCGCGTCATCGCGCCACGCGCGTTTATACGTTTCATTCCTATCTTTCACCGATCCGCATACAACGGTAAAGTGTCGTTAGCTTCAATTATCTACAAAAAAGGATGTCGAATAAAAAAGTGTAAAGTGAAGTTGAAGAAACGCTGCGGCGCCTACTAGTAATAGTAATATACATATACATATATAGTAATATACATATAATAATATATTAAAATGACAACAATAATTAATCTTCATAAACAATAATAATAATATAGAATAATAATAATAATAATAAATGTGACTGACTCGATAGAATCTCTAAGTAAAAATCCATTTTGAACATAGCGGAAGCATGTCCGGTTTTATCTCGCACTTATGGAATACGACATTTTCGCAGACGGTCGACATTTAACGCAGCTTCTTGTTAACTTGTTCGATCTGCTCGTCGATCCTCTGGGAAGTACCCCTGAATTTGTTCGGCTCGGGTCCAATCATCTGTATGAGCTGCGGCACTTCTTGGCCGCTGATCTGCGTGAAACGCGCCAGCGACTTCATGCACGTATACAGTTGCTCCTCCGCGGGACTGCCGTTGAAGTATTGCAGTAACGCCATCGTCAGTTCCACTGCGACGTCGTCAAACACCTACAGTTCATATATTACGTAAAGATATTTAGGAATTACGTCATATCTTACTTGCGCGAATGAAAAAAAAAAGAGATTTGAAGATATGGCTGCACGACGCGATGTTACGTAAACAATTGCCAAGTTGTAATATAAATTGCGCCAAAAGTTTGGAAGCTCTACGCCTATCTCAAAATTAATTTAATCAAATTAATGTATTTTTCCTAGTAATCACAAAAAACAATTGCATACAATTTTTTTAACGAAATATAATGTTATAGATTAAGCTTGGAAGCACCGTTGTTATGTGAGTTGTCTGTAATTTTAGTAACCGTTACATATACGAGATATTGTCAAACACTCATTTGAAAAATTAATCGCGGTTGTCGCGCACATCGCGTTACATATTACGCGTGTGTACTTAGTTGCACGCAAGACACCGATAACAGTTGACGACTTACCGCAGCGCACGGTTCGATCTAACATGGATTTGGATAGGTACCTTAGAAATACTGCCTTTCGGTAAAAGTCGCCGCAGATTTTTGCTTTTGTTCATTTTCTGAAAAAACAGTATCCGATTTCTGGAAAGATATCCGTCACACGTAACACTATCCGCGCGATTAGAGAGCTTCAGTGTGCGCATGCAAACGAGCATCGAGTGAGTCATGTATCCTTTAATTGAGCCGTTCTTTTTGATTAATGGTAAATATGTAGGTTCTCTTTTATGTCCTTTTTATTGCTCGTTCGTGAAATCGAGTTACCAGGCGAGATGTCTACGTCGACGGTCGCGTTTAGCATTGTCACCAATTTACAGAGCGAATATTTCTTTTTTTTCTATCATATATAATAAAGGCAGCACTTCTTTTTTAGGACACAGTGCGAGCTTGTTTTCTTGTGACATCGGCAAGCACGCGTTCCGAAAGCGGTATTACAAATGATATCGTGCATCGAAGGATCGTGCTTTAATGTTAGACAATTACGATTCATATCTCTTTTTCTACAGTCCTGTTCCAAACTCGTAAAATAAGTAAAATTTACAACGCAGAGGGCTACTATATGATGTAAAGAAAGATCGTAGCTTAAAAGCTTGAAGAACTGTAGAATTATAATCTTCGATAAGAAGATACGCCTTCGATACGCGACACGCTTTAGCAATGAGTTATGAAAGTGAAAGCAAAAATCGGCGAAAGATGAAAATGTTAATTGGACAGGAAGGATACAGACCACAGTTTTTACCTCCTTGCAGGCAAGGTTGTGGATAATGGCTGCACCGCGGATCTGCAGGTCTTCCGAGTTTGAGAGCAGTGAGTGCACCGCAACCTTTGTCGTCACCCTTATGTTGCTGATATTGCTGCTGACGTTCTGATCCTGATGCTGCCACTCCGATATGTAGAGTAACCATTCCGAGCTGCTGAGATTCTCGAACATATTTGCCAACTGTTCGAAAGTTATTGACGTTAAAAGGTTTCAGAAAAGTAAGAGTGTAAATATTAGAAGTTTCTACTAACGTACAAAAAGGGAACTATATGAATCAAAATATAAAAATAATTGTTTTACTGTAATTTCGTTTATACTTACAAACTGTGCAAGTGGAAGTTGCTCCTCCGGCGGATGTCGATCGATATCGAAGGCGTAAGTCATGATGATGTGCTCTCGCCTGTCTTGATGCAACAACAGAATCACATCGTCCTTTAGTGCGGCAACGGACAGCACGTTCAATAGTTTTACTCGCACATTACTATCTAATGATTTATCATAAAGAACTCGACCTGAAACCCATTTAATTAAATTGAATTAAACACAGTACTTTTAGAATATTAAATCTCTATTTAAAAATCCATTTTTATAGTGTTCAAATATCTAGTAAGTTCAAAATCAGACACATCCGAATAAATCAGACACATTTTCAAAAAGAGACTTGAGAGAACTACTTGTGTTATTTCAGTGACTCACCAACGAAGTTCAGAAAGTTGTCGCCTAAAGCCCAGGAGCCCTCGTCCTCCAAGACATATTGCCGTAGTTCACCCAGGCAAGTTTGTTCCTCATCGTTCAATTTCCCTTTGAGAACGCTTACCAAGTCTTCATACTCCGTTCGTACATCCACCAAGTCTTTGAAAACTATCGGTGGATCTCGATGGCGTTTTTTCTCTTCTTGCTCGCGCTTCTCGTCCTCCTCCATCTGCATCACTCGCTCGGACGGCAGCATCTCCGCGGGTGCGTTTTCTCCATTGGCCGCCTGCTGCGTCTCGCCAACTGCACCTAATAAACAATAAATATAAAAATTATTTTCCAAATTGTAACAGTTTTTTATTATATTTTTTCTTATTATTATAATTGTTGTTTTTAATTTATATCAAATTTTTCATACTTTCGTTCTCCGCCATATCTGAACAGCAATTGCTCGGTCCGGTACTATTGCTGTCGCTGCTGGTGGCCTCCTTGCTGCTTTTGTCTTTCTTCTCCTTTTTCTTCTTTTTCTTCTTTCGGTCTTTCTTCGCTAATTTCTCGTTAATGACGTTCCTCCGTTCCTCTAATGCGATTGAATTCAATCTGCAAGTGTGTTCGAGTTTAGTAAAATATTTATAAAAACTTAAATGATAATCACGCGTTAAAACTATACCTTGCTTCTTCGATAGCTGTGTTTAGGAGTTGATATTCCGGCGAAGTTTCCCTCTGGATTCTTGGCTCAACGAATCTCTGGCCTACCGTGAATCCAGCACTTGAGCTACTGCTTAATGTTTCTATCAACGGATTTAAAGCTTGTCCGATAGGACTGAAAATATAACTCGTATTGAAACATCGCTTCAAAATAAAGTAAACAGGTATCTTATTTTTCTATAATAAATATAAGATTAAATATCAAATCGTGACAGTTAATAAGACGTACGTTTGTAATATTTCTTCCGGTAGATCAAGGATATACTTGGGAATGCCCTTGCCCACCAAGAAGTTGCTGACCTCCTCGGTGAAGGAATTACAGTTATGCTTGAAAAGATTGTACGTGCCCGGTCTGAAAGAAAAGAGTTTTTTATTCTACAAAAACCGAACAATTTTCACGTATTAAAGGTAAACTAAGTTATTAGATAACAAGACTTAACAATGAGAAAATAAAATAACAAAATAACATAAAATCGAATGTGTAATTTAAAAAAAAAATCGAATAATTTTTCTCAAATTTGAATAAATAAATCTTACGCAAAAAAATGAAATTCTTTATGAAGGAAAATCATAAAAGCAACATGCGATATCTTCAATAAACTAACAAATAAAATTGAAGGGGAAGAGACGTGACTTAAGTTAAAAGTGATATGAGTCACGCTTTGTGAAAAGTAAAGAATAAAATAAACAAAAATAAGTAAAGTGACGTTTAAAGTAACATAGTAATCAACATACGAGCACATAATTTGCCTTCTCACAGTTTCAAGTACAAAATGAAGATCTAGAAGACGAAAGCGGCCGAGGGAGACACAAACACACACATCTCAGCATGCACGCATCAACCGATGATACTCACGCGAATGTGGAGGTCCCCAGGCCGTTTATGTACTCCAGGAAGACCGAGTAGGGTAGGTAAGTCTCGCCGAGCTTCTCAACTCTTTGCGGATCCCGTAATTCCGTGCCGCCCTGAAACACGAAATGCGTCGAGCGGTCGCGTTAAAATCGCGTCCGGGAAAATCGCGCCGCGCCGTCAATGTCAATTTCGCGGCAGCTGCGCTGATCCGGCAGCCGGTTTCGTTCGCCAGAGAGACAGAAGAGAAAAGAGAGAGAGAGAGAGAGAGAACGAGAGTAAAAGAGAGAGAATGAGAAAGATAGAGAACACCCGCCTCCTCCTGGCATTAGTGGCCGCGTAATTTTAGAACTACGACAAATCTCGCGCTTCCCTGCGAGAAATCGCCGAAAATAGATGTCCGCGGTATGCGTTGGAGCCGCGACCTCTTCTAGAACGCAAAAGAAAGACGGGGCCCGGCGGAAGTGAAGAGCAAAGAGAGACGAGATGGAAAGAAAGCGTTTATTACGCGCTCCAAGGGTTGAATCTCTCAAGGATTAACGCGAGAACGTGTCGATGGTGCAAATTCTTAAGTCTAAAAAAGTGGAACCTACGCGATACATTTCATGGAAACACGAAAGCGAGATTAGCGTCGAATGGATAGGAAAATTAATTAGTTTACATTAAATTACGAAATTTTGTCCTCGATGAGAATGAAGAGATTAATTGGGAAAGTTAAAGTCTCCATCGCTCTCGAAGCCAAGATATGAGAATAGAAATTAACAGAATAGAAATTATCATTCGGGGGAATCGGAAATGTTATACAATTAACACAAGCTAAATCAGTCGAAGACTAAAAATTTCCTTAATTTAATACTGGTCAATTTAATGTTAGCCAATTTATTACTGAAACACAGTATAATTAATTATTTATTTGGAATACTAAAAGTATTGAACAATATAGTGCTTTTAATACTTAAAGTAAGCAATTAATTACTGTCTTTCAGTATTGGCCAGTATTAGATTTAAGAGTGTAATTCTCCAACCAAATTCCCTCGAGAAGTTAGAAATAATAAACGTATCACGGACATTACTTGATATTTTAACCA